TTGACACAAACAGAACGCCAAGTTTTCATCGGCAACCAAATATGCTCACCAACAATTTGTGAAATATTGGCTTGCTCAAAGGTCACGCCATCAGTCTTTGGAAAGTAAATGTTGGTGCTTTTCGGTCTTAGTGCTGCTGAAGAATAAGCGCCTCCACCTGCCAAAGGAAATAAATCAAAATCCTCCTTTAGGTTTTGGCTCTTGGTATCCGCATTGGGTCGGTGAAGGCAGACCTGTGAAGGGATCGGCCACGCCTTCAGGAGCAACTGAGTCACGGCCGGAGCCGGGGATGTAGCGACCAGAGCCTAGGAGACGTTCAAATGGCCATTGTCAGAAGGGAACCGAAACTCTCCATTTCGAAGCCAAATACTGCACCTGTGAAGGGATCGCCTCCAAAATTTGGTCTTCCGTCCGCGGACCCTGGGATGTACCGCGCTCCCCCTGCCGGGTCGACAAAGAACAACAGTTTGACGCAAGAACAAGGCAGGTGCCTGTAATACAGTATGAGGGCAGTCCTGGAACTTTTCTGTCACACCTCATACGCAAAAACGTCTTTTGACGGAGAAAACGGTCTTCCTCACCCGTGAATGGGTCACCACCGGCGGGTTGTGCGGGTCCCACCACGTGTCCTTTGGTGTTTTCAATGATAAAATTAGCAACCTGGTCCAGAAACATGGGGCTGAGGTCGTTCTTCTGCAAAAAGTTGTGCGCCGTCAGCCAGGGGTCCTCCGACACGTTGTAAGGCAGCTTCATGGATGGCCCGCCCTCGTTCACGTCAATCGTGAAGACGTAATCGTACTCCTGCGGGGGGGGTGACATGAATCGTCTGAGAATAAAGTCTGAACACTGACTCTTCCAGACAAATTGGACCCGTTTTTAAATTTGGAGAGTAAAGCCGAACAATTAATCGAGTTCAATTTGACAGCACACTGTTGTTGAATTTACATATCCTGTACATCCATGCATTTATCAAACATAATAATTTTATTGCTTGTGTTGATTAAATTAAAAGGGAGGAGGACTTTTGAAAAAAATAATCTCATATTAAATCGCAATATTAGAATATTGGGCAGAGGCCACAATTAGAATTTTCGAAATAATTCATCCTCATTTCACAGCAATTAAAATAAATACGTAAATAAAAAATTTCCATTGCTTTTCCATTCCCAAAATACACACACACACACACACACACAATATATATTTATTTTTTAAAATGTAATTCTTTAGTACAGGTGGTGCTCCAAGGTTTATGAACACTGAGGCTGCTCAGTGTTTACAAAAACAAAAAAAAAAAAAAGGAATTCGTGTTCTAATGCATCCTAACAGGGTGTAAATTTGTTCCCAGCAAACACGCGACCTCACCTTTCCTTCATACATGACACTTTTGGAGGTCTGCTGGTTTGAGCCACCGACCACATCTCCAATTTTCACCCAGCGACTGTCAGTGACACTCCACTGATAAGCCTCCACTTTCTGCCCATCTTTAATCAGTCGCGTCTGTCCATCGCGATTCCCTGGGAAAGCAAAAATGCAGACAATTTGGCCAGATTGATATTTCTGGAAAAAAAAAAAAATCAATGCCAGATGAAAACTGTCTATTTTGAAACTGAACTATCTTACATTGCAATAAAAAGTCAAAAAAAAAACCACTACCAGGCTCATTGAGGTGTTCCGGTCCAGGAAGGTCCTCGACTTTGATGTCTCCGAGGTCTCCTGTCTTGGGGTCGATGGTAGCATTCGAGAGCTCGTTCTCAAAGGCCTGTAAGTCCTGAGCGCTTGCCACGCGGTCCTCGGCCTCCGTAAACACTCGGATGATGCCGTCGCTGTGGCAGGACAGACGGTTAGCCAAAGGATAAAGAAAAGAAAAATAAAAAAAAGTTTTGAAGGAGTTACCTGGCTCCGACAGCAATATCGCCATTTGGTAGGATGCAGCAGCACCACACAGACTGAGCAGGCAGGCGGATAGTCTGCGTACATTCTCCACCCCTCCATATTCGCACAGTTCGGTCCTCTCCTGTGCTCACAAAATCTAGCGCAAGGAACACAAAAATTCAGCAGGGGTGGGAAAACGTTGGACGACAGTGGACATGTTTTTTTGGGGAAACAGAATTAAATCTTGGATATTGAAACACCAAACTGTTTCACCAATCCATATCAATTTAATGCAAGTCCACTATCTTAATGCTATTACATAATGCAAAACGTAATGGTTGGGCTACTCAAAATTAGCATAGCTGTTATGGAAACGATCAACTTGACACACGTGGAGCAGCAACACATGCAAACTTTATCCAGTAGAGCTCAGTGAGTGCTGCCTGGCACGTTGTGGGAAAAGTTGTAGCGGGATGGTGACTTTACTGCACTGTTTAAAATCCAATTTGAGGCCGACAAACCTTGACTATTTGGGAAGACGGCAATACTGTAGATGTAGTTAGTGTGCCCGTGGTACACCTGTGCACATTCGCCTGTCACCAGCCACCTCCTGATGCTGGTGTCGTTGCTGCAAGAGAAGAACTCAGTGCTGCTGATCACCACGAGTCCCCGTACGCAATCCTCGTGACCTAAATCGGAACAAAAAGTTATTCTCTTGATGATGACTGACCGCTGGGTGACTAGGTTATAAAGCCGATACTTCACAAAAGTAAACGACTGAGGTTACATCATCTCCACAAACTGTTTTTCAAAGGTCCTGGAGCCATGACCGATGCCATCGATAAAACCGTGACCTGACTAGGCGGGAATGAGTTGTTTGCGTAAGCTACCTGTAAATGTCCTCTCGCATCGTCCTGCTTTCCAAAGCTTGATGCTTCTGTCTGCCGATCCGGACAGCATGAGTCCTTGCTCAGGCAACATGGCCACTGCCCACACAGCTGCAGAATGGCCCTGCAGCGTCATCATGCACTTTTCACTGAGCCACACTTTGGCCGTGGTGTCCCAAGAGCCACTCAAAAGTGTTCCGAACTTCCCCGAGGACAGAGTACAAACTGTGGACATACAACGTTGTAAAGATGACACAGAACATATGACGGCAAATATTAGATTTGATTCCCTAGTTCCTCAATATACGACGCCCCGATACAGGGATTGGGGACTAAGCTCTCATTACCTACTCCCGAATCAGGATAGAGATTTTCATGGTTAACTCAAGAAGTCTAATGAAAAATAGTCAAATAGTCATGCTCACCTGTGTTTTTGTGACCTTTAAGAGTGTACAAGGGCTGTGGTTGGTCCAGTGTGAATACGCAAATGTTATTGTCGTTCCCCCCAGTGGCAATGAGTCCTCGGGGGTACACTTCGCTCGGCGCAATGATGCACACGCATGATACAAAGTTCGAGTGGCCCGACATACATTGCATCTCCGTGAAACCGTTGTCGGAGCTGTCAACAAAGAGGAAACACAGAGTGAATTTTTATGTCATTTGGAAGGAGAAATGTGCCTTCAACTGTTGATGGAATGGGAGAAACAGTTAACAAACAAGTAAGGAATGAAAACACTTGCAAGGAGAATGGTCAGGAGGTCGCTTAAAAGCAATGTCTTTCTGACAAAAACAAAAAAAACCCAAGACCAGTATAAATAATTTCAAAACAGGTTCCATCATTTTTTTGACCTGTACAATTCAAGTGACCTTTTGAAAATATATATTTTCAATAGGGGAAGTAAAAATTAAAAACTGAGATGAGGTGGCTGCACAAGTGTACAAAGCCTCTTTATAGCAGACGACAAAAAGTTTTTGTGCTCGCAGCCATTTTTGGGGATGGGGGGGTTAAAACAGATTAATACAATTTCAGTTAATTTCAATTGGGATTTTTTTTTTTGATGGTTTATCTAAATCACGGAACGCGTAAGATTTAATTTTACTTTATTCAATTTTATTGTTAATTCAGAAACAGGTAAGTACCAGTGTGTGTGGGTGTATATATATGACTTTTTTAAAAGCCTTACCTTCAACAAAAATGGATTGCGACTTTGCAATATTAGGGAAACGTGCCTTTTGCTCAACGGCATTCATTCAATACAAAGTAAATACGTACAAGGTAAATTGTATGTGCAAGACAATAAGTGCTTCAACTGAATGAATGACAAAGCTAATTCGAAAAGCACTTTTACAAAAGCATTAGAAAAGAAATGTCAGCACTTTACATAAGCAAGATGAAAAGCGCTTTATTTGATTATCTCCCGTATGGGGTTTATGAACGCTTAAGGCAACAAAGTCACTTTATACGATGAATTATAGGCCAGCAGGCTAACGCTAGCTACCTTGAGTTTGGGACCCAGATCCTTCCGGTCCGGTCCCTGGACACAGAAACGAACGCTCCTTCCGGGAAAACAGCAGCCGCGAGCCCCCGGACGTCCATTTCGTGGCCCGGAATGGAGCACCTAAGCCTGTAAAAGTTGGATGACGCCGTGTTTACCTCCATTCTGACGGTGAAACCCAGAAGAACCGTGGGAACTCCGACACGACAACGCCGGGAGGCTAAAAGCTAGCGGAAGCAGAATGACGTCATCCAGGTCCTGCTCACCAAGTCAATAATTTATTGTTTGTATTAAAATCTTGTTTTAAGAGTTAATTCAACTACGGAATACGCACACATACATATACATTAACTAATCCATAAACACTGTATGTAGCACCTCATCGAGCGGGTTTGCCCGTTGCTGGGATACGTCAGCGCATCCGCCATATTGGATGGGGCAGAGTCTCGTTTTGAGACAAATAATCACTTTCAACGTGATGATTATGAATACTTACTCTTTCTCCCTAAAATATTGAAGATATATTCAAGCATCTAATTGATGCATTTTTCGAATATTTTAAGCAGTGTTCACAGCTCCCAATTTATCGTAAATAAACCATTAAAATTAAATATTTAGTAGGCTTCTAGAACAACTAGTCCACCAGTTTTCGTTTTAATTTCAGCAAGTATTTACTGAACAGAGTCGTGAGATCCACATTGAAGATTCAGCTATTTCTCACATTGCAGACTTTTGTTCTGACTGCTTTCTCAGTCCTTTATTTGGGGGAAATTGATATGTATGAGAAAAGTTAGCGAAGCAACTAACAGTCGGGAGATTTTGTTTCATCGTACTAGCCAAGAAGGCGGCAAATTCTCGTCACAAAATTATGTAATGGTCAAAACCATACAACACAACCATGACATTGTTAAATTCCCAGTCTTGAACATCTTCACCTAATCCTTTCAATTTGACACATGTAATAACATAACGGCAATGTCGCCGTACAATTCAGCGTTAAAGCGTGAAAATCAAATCGATTAAAAAAAACCAACACAATAAACACATAAATAAACAAAAAACTTCGCGACAAGAGCCCACGACAATTCGTGCATTTGCATTGTCTCATTTTCACCCAACACATCTTTTAATTTGAGACCACTCTCCAAATAAAAAAACGAAATGAACCCCTAAGTCGTCGCACACTTCTGCGATCAAAGCTCGTCATTATCTGAAATGACAATAATTACACCTTGTTCAAGTGGATCTGTTCTGTCTCTAGTTCCTCTCTCGACTCAATGTGCACTTCTACTGCACATGCATGCAACAAACTGATATAATAATAATTACTATATTAAACTAAACTGTGGCCAATTCCTTATTCTAGAAAAAAAACAAATGGAAACGTCTAACAATTTTTCACATACAGGCTGTATTAGCCTTTTTTTTTTGCATGAAAATGAGAGTGAACCTCAAAGGAATCAAAAGGCAAGTCGGCTTGAAAGCCAAACGTGAATAGAAGTGACTTGTGATCCCAGTAGCTTTACACTTAGACATGCTACCTATCAAAAAACACCAGATTCACTGCAACAATTTGGATAACGTTCCTGTATCAAAACATAATTAGCAGCTGTCATAAGAAAGTCAAAGTCTTTTTTTTTCTCCCCCCTTGTGCTTTTAAAGCGAGAACTGACTTTGGCTGAATAAGTTGTAGGAGATGGGGCAAAGAGGACTCACAACTCAAGTCACACACCAAAGGCTCCTTAGTGCTTTGTCAATAATAATAAACACCTAAACTATTACTACTACCAAAGAGATCATCTTAAATCTAGTTAAAAAAAAACAACAAAAAACACTTCACTCCAGTTCATACCAGTAGGACATGGCTGCGAGAAGAGGGAGAGAAACTTCATTGCTCTTTATCCCCATCATCCCATCCTGAAAAGTTTCACCTCAGCTATTCAAAACTGGTCAACATTGTACCTGCTCTATCCTCTGAGGGTTCCAGTTGTAATGCAAAAGCTGTTCAAACTGTAGGGGCTTAGGTAGTGTTTGGAGTTTTGAGCTATTGAACGTGTACGTGTGTGTGTGTGTGTGGAATAGCAGTGGTCTGGAGGTAGGTGTGACAGTGCAGCTAGAATACAAAAACACTTAAGAGCTGACATTTTGGACCACAGTGCTCACGAGACGCCGTGAAAACATTTTGGGTGGAACGAGGGTTGCAAATTGCCCAACTGGGAAATTTTCCATTGGAACGAATGGGGATGAAACAGGAATTTCCAAAAGCGAAAGGTGGCTCTTCACGGGGATAAATCTGCACGAGTAAACGTGTAACCTTTCTCATTCTCAATTCCCACGGAAAGTTTCCAAGTTGGCATATTTCCAAGCTAACTTTTCGTTGAAATTTCCCAGAAATGTTGCACCGTTTCGCAACCCTCGTGTGTTCCGTCTCCTAGTGCGAGTTGGCCTGCTCCACCTTGATCCCCACCAGCGACGGCGGCATCTGCATGGCTGCCGAGGGCGAGGAGCTGGGAGGAGAAGCCCGCAGGCTGGAGCTTCCGGAGGAGGTGACTGCGGGCCGGATGAGGGGCGGCGGCGGGTGGTTGTGAGGGGCCCGGTTCTGCAGCGGGCGGGTCTGCAGTGGCGGGGGCTGGCGCAGGAGGCTGGGCGGCGCAGAGGGCGGCGCCGGGCGCAGCAGCGGGGGTGGCTGGGACAGGGACGAAGGGTTGTGGCTCGATGAGTGGGGCGAGGAGCTCCCGGCCGCATCTGGAGGAGAGTCCTCCATCTTGACCTTGAGAAGCAGCGAGAGGAAACGACAATGGATTTTTGTACTTCAGCTTACAAGATGTACAGGTTGATTACTTTGACTCGGGTCAATAAGTGAAGCCCAGAGGTCAAAGCAAACAAGGTGCAGAAGCATTAAGCTGTGATGGTGCACACGGATGTCTTCATCACTTTTATTTCAAAATGATTTTGCATCTTGAATTTTATTTTTAATTCTGTGAAGCACATTGAGTTACCTTGTGTATGAAATGCACGCTTTAACTCAAGCTGCCATGTGTGGCCCTTGCTCACCTCGTCTTCCTCCGCTCCCCCTTCCGTGGCGGTCACCATCTCCTCGCCACCCCGCCTGAGGTCACGGGTGGCCACCTGCTCGGCGGCCCACTCCCTCAGCACCTCGTCCAGGTTGAACCTGCGGCGGTAGCTCACGAAGAAGGAGCTCACCTAGCGATGCGAGAGCAAATGACCATGAGCACGTATGTGTGGCGAGGGGAAAAAAAAAAAGTCCTGAGGTGGCTCACCTGAGCGGACGTCTTGTTTCCAATCACTTCAGCGATGGCGTTGAAGTCTTTGCCGTAACGACGGATTGCTGCAAAATGGGAATTGACACTTTAGAGTGAAATTCCACTCACCGCCTTTATTTTTACTTGCACAGTCATTGCTTTTAATGTCTTTTGTACTTGATGCTAAGATACAACAGGAAACTCGTAGGCAGGCAGGCTTCCAGCATCGACGTGGCGGTGTTTGCCAAGATAATACTCTTTTGCATATATTATTTATCCTCTGTGAAGAATGATTATTCCGAACAAGTAATCCAGAGGACCTGCGTGACCAGCACAGTATATCGATGTCTTTTACACTGACCTCAGGTGGCCAACTGGCACACACCAGAATAAGACAAGATAAGAAAACCTTTATTTGTCTCACAATGGAGAAATTCCCAATTTACAGCAGCAAAATTATGAAAGGAAGAAAGTAGAAGACAAAAAGTATATAAATAAATATAAAATATAAATATAAGCATATTAAAAATGGGTGAGTGGGGGTGAGTCCAGGTTTTCAGAACCGTCTATTCAATGTATGTACATTGAAGAAGAACATGCGACAAACTTATGATGGAGTGTAAAGTTTCCTCATTAAAAAAAAAATTCTGCAGGGCTGGAATGATGACCGTCATTTCCATTCATTCCATTGGATTAATGAATGGCTTCACCATTCATTTCAATGGGGAAAGGTGAGTAATCAGAATAGTTTTTCAGGGTAACTATATTATCCATAGGTCACCGTCCACTCATACAGTCTTTATCCTCTGCAAGGAGATGCAACTCTTCAATTGTTTTTCATTCTATTTAATTGTGTTTTTTTTTTTTTTTAAATAAAATATAATTTATTATGGAGTGTATTTTTTTCTCTCTCCGAGGCTGGTCAACACACACACCCTGTTCCCTCACCTTGCACCGCAAGCAGCTGCTCCTCTGTCGTCCAGCGAGCGTTCATCTTGGGGGTGGGCTGCAAAAGAGGAGCGCGTCACTTCAGACGGAAATTGTGGCAACCTCTCAGTCGGAGGTTAAAAAAAAAAAAAAAAAAAAAAAAGGAATATACCTCAGTGGGCCTGAAAGTGTCAACACCTTCATTCAGACTCAGTTTCAAACTACTGTTGCTCTGTTTAATACTTTGGACCTGAAAGAGGAAGTCAAGATGGTGTTTAATGGGCACACACACGCAGATGGACGGCGACACGGGACGCCTGTCACCTGTCGTTTGAGTGACACCAGCTGCGTGTCCAGCTGCCTTATCGTCAGCACGCCCGAGTCGTGCGAGGCGGACAGGGACGTGATGTCGGCCTGCTCCAGGTGCATCCCCTTGGGCGGCCGGCGGCGCGCTCGAAGAGGGTGGTGGCGGTACTGTGCGCCGATGTTTTCCTTCTTGATGGGGCCGGAGCGACCGGGGGTGACCTTGTCTGAGGCGGCGCTATTGGCGTTCTGCTTGGCCGCCTGTGCACACATAGTGACGCATTTGCATCGTGCTGTGAGTTTTTTTTTTTTCCCCCCTCCGATGCTCACCTCCTTTTTGGCATCAAGCTCAAAGTCACAGTCGCTGCCGGGATCTCCTTCCTCCAGCTCGTCATTGCTACATTGGAAAAAAAATTGTTTCATCCTTCCGTATGCTTTTTTTCCCCCCTCCGAATGAAAAGAGTTGTTTCTTCTCACCTGTCATCTTTCTCCCTCTTGCTGACCAGCCTCCTGGCCTGGCGGTCCATGACGGAGGTTCTGGTTCTTGTCTTCTTCCAGCTGTAGTAGTACTTCACCAAACTGGATATCAGCTTGTCCGGAAGCTAAAAACACCAAAGTCAAATACGTTTGATGTATTGGGCTGTGGGCTGTCAAACACGATGGCGTCTCACCATCTGCTGTATGCGGTGGAAGCTCTTCCCGTGGAAGCTGAAGGCCTGTTCGAACAGCACTTTATCCTCCACCGTCCACTCGTCGGGGAACGGCGTGAAGTTGGCCAGGTCGGCCAGCGAGCGCTCCACGTCGTGCTTGTGCCACAGCAGCATGCCCAGCGCCTGCCGGCAGCGTTTGCACGTTACGCTCAAAGGGTGCCGGCGCAGTCGCGGAGACAGAAGTGACGCCACTGTTGGGTCTACTCTACCTGCTCCATGTTGTAGCCATGTTTCTCTTTGGCCATCAGGATGTATTCGTCCACTGCATGGGACAACACAATGAGCAATGGAGACACGCGGCAAATACTCACCAAAGAGTTAGCGATAGGGCGAAAAGAGCGAGTGCGTACACATTGCATCCGACAGCTGAGTGTTGGGACACCAGACCAACATGCTCCTCTGGTCCTTCTCATTGTAACGGGCCGGGCTGTCTGAAATTGCAAGCAAATTTCAAGATTCATTGTGGAAAAAAAACAAAACACCTGGTCAAACAGGTTCGGCAATTGACATGCCATACAGTCACGACGTCGTCAGTTTCATGACTGCAGTGGTATGTTGACTCAATTTCACCGGGCACGTTATCAAATCAAATTTCCTCATTGAAATGCTCTGAATCCATTTTCGCCCCACCCAAAAATAAATCAATAAAATAAATAAAACAGCCACACTTTTTTTTTTTGCTTTTTTAAAAATAAAATTTACATTATCTAAAAACATTTTTAAAAAATGCAACGATGGGCATTACAGTATTGGACTTGTTTTATTTCTCTGGTTTTATTTCTCTTTTTACGCCAATATTTTGCCTTCTACCACAAATGAATATTGGTTAATATTGGCCTCCTTGACAACTAATAATCTGGCACGGCTCTGAAAAACCCTATTGGGGTATATCTAGGACTGAGTGACGCCAGAAGCTGGAGTAGTATTACTGGGTGTTATCATTTCTTTTTTTTTTTTTTTTTTACCTGGTTTGAACTCCGGGATTTGGGCCTGGTAGTCTCCTCCCACTCGAATCATGCTGTCTGTCGAGGAACAAGAGAGAAAAAGGAAGCGCTCAGAGGAGGAGGTGGGCGTGGTCAACAACATGGCCGCCATTCAACAAGCAGCCGAGCGGGACGGACAGGATTGCCACAAGACACACATGGCACGGAGCGACTCATCATTTCTTAAAAAAAGAGTTCCATTCAACAGCCGTCCAGCTGATTTTTAATCACATTCTAATGAACTCTTGTTCTGTTCTAGTCGTCATAAAAAGCTCACAGTCGTTTTTAGGGCCCGACCGATTACCGGTAATCTCAACGCTAAAGGTGTTTGCATGTGTGTGTATGTATAGTACCTCATAAATTTGGAAACGGCCACGGAACACAAATTATGGACAATTAGGTCAGTGGCAAGCTGTCCTTGGGTCTGACGGGTCCAAATTTGAGATTTTTAGTTCTGGTTGACCGACATGTCTTTGTAAGGTGACGAATAAGTGAAGGTTGCTACGCGAGCTCCTTCAAGACCATTGAAGAACCATTTCAAAGTGATTGAAAGAATGCCAAGAGTGTGCAGAGCTGCAATCAAAGCAAAAGGTGCCAACTGGGAAGTATTTAAAATCTTTTTGATCATCATTTGCAACTCAAGTTTAGTAAATGATTATTTACCTGTTGCTGCACAATGTGGATGTCTTTAGTATTCATTTACAATGTAATAAAAATAAATAAAAAAAAAAGAAACACACATTTGAACATGTTTCCAAACTTTTGAGTGGTCCTGTGTATGATGATAAGGTTTATGGTCATGCTTAGTTGTACATGATTTGTGTTAAAAGTGGCACGCTATATTCACAATGCAACATTGTCAAAGATGACATGTTTGGACGAGTAAAAGGTGTCGCTGTGTTTTATTTTGAAGTCGTCACTTTGTGTGTGTGTGTGTGTGTGTGTGTGTGTGTGTGTGTGTGTGTGTGTGTATACCATGAGCATGCTCCTCATCGCTGCTCTCCTCCTCGGAATGCGGTTGGCTGTTACCGTTGGTTACGGTCTTGGCTCGGCTCCTGGACAGGACACCGGCCCCAGAGCGCTCCATCACCGAGGGCATGGCTTTGCGAGACACCGCCACAGACCCTGAACATATCCAGCTTGCATTAACATACTTTGGTTTCGCTTTAAAGTACAATACATTTGTGCTTATTCTTTGAATGGTTGTGAAAAGGTATCCCACCTCCTATTTAAAAGGAAACCGTGTAAGGATTTGTCGTATTTTAACTGGCCATTATTTCAAAAACCGACCATTATATTAATTATAAAATATCTGTTCAATCACATCAACATAATTTTAAAAAAATATAATTGTAGGTGAAGTAATCGCTAATTAGATTACATAGGGCGAGCCTCCCCGACAGCAGGCTGCCATGTTTCACCGCCATGTTTCTGTTACGGATCTTAGAAGGAGACAAACTTAGCGAATGTAATTCCTCAACATGATGATGTGTGACAAATGCCATGCACTTCGTCCGTCACTTGAGGGAATACTCGAAGTCGTTTGAGATGAGATTTTGCATGCACCTCTGCTGAAGGAATTGGTGGTAGGCTTGCGAAGTGTGTGGTCTCCCTGAGGCAACGAGTGCGCCTGCATTTACCGAAAATCGTTGCATTCTATGAGTTCACCACTAGATGACGCTGAATTACACACACTGTACCTTTAAGCACAACTGTAGTTCAAAATGTGCATGTTACAGAGGTAGCTTGGAGAGTAAAATGTTTTTTTTTTTCAGTAGATACTTGGTGTGGAAAGTTGGAGAACCGACAGACAGTCTTGATCATTTTCTTTGGATTAGCAGTCCCGTGACATGGTCCTAAAACACGCCAAGACTGGAAAAAAACTGCACAATGCACAGCGGCCTTGTTACGCTGTCAAGCAGCCTTTCTCCTCATCGGTCACGTGAGGACACACGCGTCCATACAACTCAAATTTAGCAGGCTAAATAAATAAATAAACAAACAGACTTGTTCGAACTTGCGACCACTTCAAAAAGTGTTAAAAAGAACAATACGAGACTCTCTAAGGGGGTCTTTGTCCCTCATAATGCCCCCCCCATCCACCCCCTCCCCAACTGCAACAGCTGTCCCGACGACCCGAGTAATACTTCAAAATGAACATTTACGACGTTTGAGTCGACGTTTACGGCTGAGGGGAAATCGCGAATCTCCTGACAACTTGGAATATTTTTTTAAATGAGCACCAAAGGGAGAATTACTGCGGTAGCCTCGGTCATACCCGATGGTAGCCTCGAGCACAACGATAGATATACTATTTTAAAAATGGTTATTTGGAAAGAGTTGCCATGAGACAAGATGCCCAGGTTTTGACCGATGTTTAAGATGCATTCATGTTAAAATAAACACTTTGTCTTCTTTACACCGCAATAACGCCAGATGTACTTATTTTTTTCGGGTGCCGAGAACGCGACCGACGAACAAATTCAGCCCTAGTATTTTCACAATAAAATCTCCTCTTTGTTTATCATTAATGTGACAAACACAAGTGCGTCCCTTTTGTTTTCAACACGCTCAACGTCGCCCAGTCAGCGACCGACTCTCGTTGAAGAAATTAAAAAGTAAATTTTTTTCATAACATAAAAACTAAATTCACTTCCTTTTCGTCGTGTTACGTCGACTCATAAAAAGAAAATATTTGTTTCCAAAGTGTGGCCGAGATCCTCCTTGCAAGTGCGGTGTGTGGGTATCCATAGTTGGGATGCTAGCGTTAGCCACTTAGCTCGCCGAGGCTAGCAGCACCTCCGCGTTACATTAGTAACGTTTACTCCGACTTGCGAGTCAACATTAACAGTCGCGTTGTACCTGCGTGCCTCGATCCTCTGCCGAGCCCCAACTTATATATGCCACTCTGCCTTTCACGGTGCCTTTGCCAATCTCCTCGGACGTGTCAAAATAAAGACTTATTGCCCAAATGACGCTTTAATTCTTCCAATTGAATACAATGAAGTGAAACGGCGGCGTGGAGCACAAATGCAAGCAGCCGGCGAGCCGCACAGCGCCCTCGGAATTGCGAGGTGCTCGTCCGCCGCCCGGTGCCTCTCCCAGGCTCCAGCTTCGCCGTTTGGAGTGAGGAAGAAGTGGTTTGTATAAAAGTCAGCAATGGTCGCCCATTCGGCTTAAATGTCATTTGTCTTCAGGTTTGTAGAAACGCAGAAATATGTGTTGAACACTATTTTGTGGACAAACAAAACCAACAATTGGGGACTACTTGCCGGTCTGCCCGCGGAGGGATGTGTCAAGTGTGCATCTCTGTACTGAGGCAGGCTGTCCAGACTTGCACTGTGCGTGTACGTGCGCGCGCGCGCGTGTGCGTGTGTGTGTGTGTGTGTGTGTGGGGGTGGGGGGGGGTCACAAGTGTTTCCCTTTGAGAGGCAGCGAGAAGAATAAACAGTTTTATATTTTACCCCTAATTCCAATTAGTGGTTCCTTGCTGCCTGTGGTATGTTGTCTCACACCTGACGCTGGAAAACATGCACGAAAACAGGCCCTCGTGGATCACGTGCATATTCACTGGTACACACATGCACGCGCGCGCTCACACACGCACTTTCGAGATGTGTAATTTTTCTGCCATTTTCACATAGATGGAGATCATGCACTATTCTCAGACCCTTTTGGTTTATTTCAAGTGATTCATATGAACTGCACGTTTAAAAAAAGAACGCAAATTCTCAATTATTATTATATGTACGTTTGTATGCATGTATTTATATATTTTGTTTTGTTTTATTTTATTTTATTGCCACCGATGACAATCCAGGTCATCATTTTCATCGCCCCATAACAACATAACACGGCCGAGAAGTCATTGTTTATCATACCATTCACATTCATGGTTTCATGAAATAAAATGCACAATCTTGCACACACACACAGCCTCGTAACTCAGAATACAATCAGAAACAAACCTTAGTAGAAAACAATATTTGAAATTATGAAGAATTAATATGCAGCCATCAGTGCCAATTGATCACTCTATGGCTGTTCGCTTGCAAATTAGTGCTTGAGATAGAAGTTGACTATGACAGTACAAAAAAGTAACAGCAAAGGAAATTGGGTTATCTATTAAATTAAGACCAGCAAAAGGTTGCTTTTTACTCAAATTTATTCCTGCTAGATTATGAGTGATTGGCCTGGATATGCGGGAATTATATTTCATGAAACCCTGACTGCGGATTGTATGATCAAAAATGATGGATTGTGCATGCATGCACATCCACCCTTCACAGAGGTGAAGAGTCACCTCTGTTCATCCCATTGTAACCCCCACACACAC